GCGGAAAATATCGATCTAGGAAAATTTTCTTCAACTCTTCCCATCTGGTAACAGAGTTGGATGGCAAAGACTGGAGCCATGCTCTAGCTTTATCTCGTAATAAGAAAGGGAAAATATGTAGTCTTATTGCTTTGGGGCTGACATCATTTGCTTTCACTGTGTCTGTGTACTGCACAAACACCGATAAATATAGGTTTGGGTCGTCTGTAGGATATCCTGAAAACAGATTCTTTTGGACAGCTTGTAGCCATGAAGGTTTCAACTCGAAATCGTTTTGGTTGATAGCGGGGGCAATAATACTCTTGTGAGGTTCTTCCTGTGATGGGACAACATAATCCTTGAGAGGACGATTTTGGGGTCCTTCAGCCATTCTTGGTTCTGGTTCAGGAAGAAAAAAAGTTGGGAAGATTGAATTTGGGAAGATTGTACTTAATTTGGTATTCTCTAATTTGGCATCTTATACTAACAAAATGCTCGATCTCGTCGATTGGTTGCTCCAGTTCTTCTCCTTGAGAGCGAGTGCTTGGCATACAATCAACAAATTAAAAGTAATAAAATTTTGTTGCCTTAGTCTATACTGCATAACAATGGAATCACAATATTGACTAAATCAGTCTCAGGCACCGGCGCCAAAAACTTGATCGTGACTTTAAGAGTCTATCGTATTTACTGACTACAAGTGCACAGTCTAATCGCGTGGTTTAAAAGATATCGAACCCACATGGACTGATAATCAAACTAATGCTATCTAATATTACTATGTAAATCTAAGGCTAATGATTAATCTTGGGTTTTGAGTAAAACGGGAAATAGATTCAAATTTAATAAATTAATGACAGAACACCGGTATGCAACTCGTCAAACTTTAGGGATTCGATAAATCACTGGCGTGGTTTTAAAAGTGAAAATATTTCTTAGTATAAAATACTGACTTAAAAAGCTTTATCTCACACTCTCATGTTATTGACTCTAACTATACTCCTAAACCAAAATGCTTTGCTCTCGCTGTCTCATTTGAATTTAAAAGTAATTTTTGGAAACCAGTAAATTATAATTAATCCTAAAGTTCTCTCGTTGTGTTTAGAATTAATGTCTAATTTCTACTATCCGGTTAAAATCTTAAAATTTTGCTTTATTGACTGTAACCTTTGTTTTCTTTTTACTCTCATACAAAACTATTTTAATTAAAATTAGAAACTAGACCAGAAAAATAGTTTGTAAATATTTACGCCAATAAATTGTCGAATCCCATTTGTGTGACTACTTTTACATACTGGTATCAAGGGATTTAGCCGGACATAGTTTCGAATATAAACATACTATAACAGTAGTTAAACATAAAACTAAACATGATTTCTAAAAACAGAGACAATTAAAATGAAATTGAAACCTGGAAATAAAAACTAAATGAAGTAACTCGAAGTATCTTCGAGTATAATTGAACTTGAATGCAACCTTGAATTAAAACTAGACTTTAAAATCACGATCGCCCATAAATGCAGGCATGATTCGCTTAACCAAAAGTACTGAATAAGTAATGAAAATAGCCTAATACTAAAGTTGCAATAATCCCCCGATGTGGAAGAGATATTGCTATTTCAGGTGATTTTATGCCTAAAAACTAAGAACAATTCACTGCTTGCAACGAAAAAATGGTGGAACCCTTCAACTATGAAGAACTGCCCTTTCATAACCTCTTCGCTAGATTCTCGTAACGATCATGGAGACAAATCATGGACTAATGGCTTCATTGAGAAATATCCGAGAGACTCAGCTCGTGGAGAAATATCAGGGGGACTAAGCTCGTGAGTCACTGACGTGGAGAAGGCCACACAAGTTAAATACGTGGCTAAAGATATTGAGTTATGGCGAGGGCCACACCCTCTGTTGCGAGGGCCACGCTTGTTGGTCTCTTGGAGAGGGCCACAATCTCTATGGCAAGGGCCACAGGTTTGAAATGAGGTTTTCCTATGCTTTTCATAATTTCTTCCATTCTTCTCAGTATCCTGGCCATTTCCCTCTCTTTTACTTATGGAAGCTTTGTGTCAGAAAGTACCTGAAATGAAATAGAAATATCGGCATAACAAGACAAAAATAAACGAAAAAGGTAATAAAATTCATGTGAGTCAAGTCGAATATACGATATAAATTCGCGTTATCAAACTCCCATACACTTGAATATATGGATTGCCTTTGGAGATAAAGAATGCAAAGGATCCTTTGGAGATAAAGAACACAAAGGAAGTAGCGCGAGAACGACGAATCGAATTGAAGTCTTTTGTTTCAATAGGTACAATTAGTCGTGCACGAAAGCTTTGGAGATAAAGTACACAAAGGAGTAGCAATATCGACAGGTCAATTGGAATCTATTGTGTCTTGGTCTTTCTCAAGATCAAAAGAATAGAAGGGGTTGAATCAACAATAAACAGTTAGGGTTTGTAGGGTTACTCTTGGAACACTTCTATTGTATCAACTTTTGCATAGTAAAAATTATCCTAATTCCATTGGAATTAGGCGCAGACGTACCCACACGCAAGGACGAAAGTGAGGAACTGTGTAGATAAATCCTCGTGTGCTTTTTCTTATCGCTTTTACTTGCTTTAATTTTCATCAATCAATTTGTCTAATAGCATTGCGTAATAAATTGACTCGTAAGAATTTTTCCGGACTATTTTTGTTTTGAAGCAAGTGTTGATATTGCTTATAATCACTTTTGATTATAAGTGCTTTTTGTATCAACACACCACAAAGGAAAATTCTGAAAATTCAATTGCACACAAAGTGTTCGACAAATTGTTTTGTCAGTTCCTTTGATAATTTCCATTGGAAATAGTGTTGTTAGTAACTTGCTATAAACATTAATAAATTGTTACTTGATTGAATTATACTTAATTAAAAATATTATATTTAATCCATAATCAATTGTATATTTGCATATCCAACTTCCAATAACACGATTTACATAGGCGACATATTTTGAAAAAATCCCGCTTGCACTCGTTTCAAAAGAATTTCAAAACCATAATTTTTATTTGTATTTTTTGGCTTGGTAATCTATTCACCCCCTCTCGATAAGGTGCCGTCGTCTAACACAAAGTACATTGTGACCACTACTCTGCTAGGATGGCGTAAGGATAGTCCTTTTGTACTATGTTGTCTACCATTCTCACCATTATTGCTGGGGATAAAACAACTGATTTCATGTTTTCTATTCTACCCTTCAACAGATCTCTTTTTCAAATATAAAAGGAGGACTTGGAAGAATTTGAAATAAGACTTTCTGTTCTACAAAACTACGCTAAAATGGTGCACAACTCTTTTGAGATATTCTTTGTAAATTAGCAAGGAGCTTTTGTTCATATCTTGTTATCAACACTTTTGTGTTGTTATACTTAAATATTGTGTAATCTGCTTGTTAGAAGCATCTCTGTATACACATCTTTGTAATCAATGGTTGTTGATAGGTTCCTTGAGAGACTAGTTATAGTCAGAATTCTCAAGAAGACTTTGGCTGCGGTCATTGTAGATTGGCAATAAGGATCGACGGACTTGTTGTGGTTGTCAACATGGTTGATTAGACTTATTGTAGTTGTCTATAATCAGTGGATTATAGTGGATTAAGTCCTTGTGGATAAGGAAAATCACCTTGTGAAGTGGACTGGAGTAACTTACTTAATAGTGAACCAGGATAAAAATAATTGTGTTAATTTATTTTTATTCACTTGTTAGCTATTGTGTTTGAGTTGCGAAAAGTTTATATTTGGTGTAATCCAATTCAAATCCCCTTCTCTTGTGTTTCTCGCACCTTCAACAAGGGTGTATCGAAATTAGCCTAGTGTGTGTGTCGAAATGTCGAAGAAGGTTGCTCGACAAGATTTCGATTTAGACCTATTTTAGTAGTGTTAACTAAATTAAGTATTTTGGACTTTTATGGTTTTAGGCTTTCCCTTAGGGAGCAAGCTAACCTAAAACCATAAATAGAGGAAGTAACCCCTATTATTGTATACATTGAACTTGAAGTTGTATAATAAAATCACAAGTTTGTGAGCAGAGAGAAACTCTTCAGAAAATACTTCTTCTTCCTTTGTTTAAACCCTAACTTCTTCTTCTTTCCCAATTTCATATTTTCTTTCTTCTGCATTGTCAATTGCCACACAATGTCATCTTGCAACCAAGGTTGATTGAATCACTCGAGAGAAGAGTGAAAAATTAAGGCTTCTACATCAATCCAACCAAGGCTACTACATCAATCCACCTTTGCTGAATATTTATCCCCACAAAAATACTCTTGTTTAAATTCACTTTGAGCCATGACATAACTTCAAAAAGTAGTAACTTTGCCTTTATTAATTGAATATTTGACCAACTATTTTCTCCTATTATCAGAGTGTCGTCCGCATATTGAAGATATGAGAATCGATCTTCTTCGTTCTCGAATTTGAACCCGCCGCTATCCATCGCTTTTTTCATTAGCATGTTAAAACCTTTGGCCACAATTAGAAATAAAAAAGGTGACATAAAGTCTCCTAGTCTCAAACCTCGCTCCATTCTCACTTCCCTGGTCGGACTACCATTGACAAGCACAAATATTGTTAATGATTTGAGGCATTCTCCTATCCACCTCCTCCATTTATCATGAAATATCATCTTTAACATTGCATAATCAAGGAAGTTCCAGTCCACTGAGTCGTAGGCTTTCTTGAAGTCGACTTTAAACATTAACACTTTTTCTCCTTTTCCTAGCTTCTTCAACGATTTCGTTTGCGATTAGATTCCCATCCAAGATCTTCCTACTGTATATAAAGGATGACCGAGGTTTCGAAATCACTATACCTATCACTTTTTTAATTCTATTAGTAAGGACTTTGGAGATCACCTTCTAAATGCACCCTATCTATCAACGATACTGACCTATAATCAGAGACTTGCATCAGATTTCTCTTCTTTGGTATCAAAACAACGAAGGAGTTGTTGGCACCCTTCAACACTTTTTCGTTTTCATGAAATTCGGCCAATACCCTCATAAGTCCTGTTTGATTTCATCCCAGAATTCTTTCACAAAATCAAAGTTCACTCCATCCGATCCAGGGCTTTTGTCACCATCGCATTCCCATCCTACTCTTCGAACTTCCATTTCCAAAAATTCTCACACTAGGTCTTCGTTCTGCTCGGCTCCAATTATATTAAAGTTAATATCCTTCAAGATCACTCTTACACCACAAACTGAATAGTGACGTCCGAAGTATTCGACCATCTATTTTTTTTTTTCCTTCACCTCCATTATCAAATATTTATATTAGATAAGAATCAAATTGAAGTTAATTAATCGCGAGTCTAATTAAATCTTTATTATGCTAATGTGTGCCGAAAATGAATAAATGTGAACCACTCAACCAGACGTGCGCAACCATCGCAAGCAAGGCATAATTCAGTAGACCAAAACATCGTTAAAGTCGTGTTCTTATGTAACAGGTAGTATTTGTGTGTGCCAACAGACAATTGTATAACTCAACTCATCATCTCACGTTACTTCACACATGATTTTTTATACGAATATTCTTTCTTAGAAAAAACTATACCAGAAAGAAAATAAGATATATCATTGTGACATAACCATATAATTTGAATCTCATTAACAAAAATGGTCTACTAACACAAAATACACACCCTTATTTTTTAGGGTATCCATGTGATGCAAAAAAAAATAAAAAAAATGAAGGGACAGGAATGAAATGTTAAAGTGAAAGAAACAACAGGCGATCCGCAAGTTACGACGTTCTTCAACGCAGCACGTTCCTTCTTCTCTCTTCTCTCTCTACAACTATAACTACCAATCATTCTCAATTTTCTTCCAAATGCGTGTTTTTTCATCTTCCATCTCAATGGTAACTAACTCTTATTCTTTCTCTCTTTTCTACAATATGCATACCAACTGTTTGTATATTGTTCTCACACAACCTAATACGCTTTTAGCATTTCATGTGCTTCTGTTCTTTCTGTTTGTATATTGGTCATTGAATTCGTTCTATGATGTTTTCTGCAGTTATTTGTTCTGATTCAAAAAGAATTTGGATCTTTTATTTATATGGTTTGCACAGAATCTAAATATTATTTTTGAAGAAATCCATTAAGTCTAACTGCTGAAATTTTTCATTTAATTTTATATCTTTCTTGATTCTTCATGAATTTGTATATTTTATCTACTCATTTATGGCTTGCTGTTATGCAAGATATAGGTTGTAGCTGATTGGTCACTTGATGAGGAATTCTTGATCAAATAGTATTCTTAGTTGTTGTTATTGAATTCATTCAGATGAAGACTGGCTCCATGATTTTTTCCTTTTTGCAAGTACCTAGATGCAGGATACACAGCTTAGCTAATAATTGGGGTGAAACCTTCCACAGCTTTGGCAACATTTGTCAAAACAATCACAGTGTAAGGTTGCTTAGTTCTAGAATTTATGGACTTCAGGGAGGCCACAGAAAAAAGTGGACCCGAAGACCGATAACTACAAATACAGAAAGCATCGCGGACACCAAATCAAGAAGCACCAAGCAAGAAATTTTGAGTGAAACAGTTTCAACTAGCTCTACGGTAAATGTAAATAAAGCACAGCTAGGCCAATTTCAGGAAATTCAGCAATGTAGCATTCAACAACAGATAGCTCAGAATAAAGACTTGTCTAGCTTAGTCACTGTTATTGTTTTTGATATTGAGACCACCGGGCTTAGCCGAGAGAAAGAAAGGATCATTGAGATCGCGCTTCGAGATCTTCAGGGTGGTCCGAACAGCACTTTCGAAACTCTTGTAAATCCTCAATGCTTTGTTGGAAACTCAAAAATCCATGGCATTACTACAGATATGGTGAACGAAGCTGGTGTTCCGAGGTAACCTATATCTCTGTGGCACTTAGAGATTATGCTTACCTTTACAAAATAAAGTATTCCATTTTGTCTTTACAACACAGCCTTCACTTATATCTGGAATCTATTTGAATAGACAGTGCTAAAATAGTTGGATTCTTATAGTTGGAATTTATTTGAGCACGTCAATTTTTAATTTGCCCTTGTTATCATCTCACATTCTGTTATATAAAATGCCTTACTTTGTAGTGTTTAGTGTATTTGGATGGTTATTAGATCATCGCACATTGTTGAAGCCTCCCAAAAGTTGCTTTAATCATCTTTCATGAAATGGGTGTAGCATTGTCCTGATTTAATGAGTTGCTATATGACTAAAGAACATGATTAGGCACAGTTTAAACTGATAAGACATTAACTTAAGGTGTTGAAGAGAGTTCTGCTAACCATGTACTAATGCTATGGGTTGGAATAAGATACTATATGTTTGTCATACAATGACTGCATTTGAAGTTTGGAATCAGATATTCGTCAGTTTCAAACTTATTCAGATGTGGTTGTTGAAATTTTCTTCTTCCATTGTTCATTTTAGTCATTGTGCATGGTTGCACGGTGAGTCTGTAGCTAAGAAGGTAACCAAGTTCCGTGTCACGTTACTCTGCAAGTTTTTTCTATATCAACATGTTTCCAGTACTTATCATCATGCTCCCTTATGACTATGAACTGAATTGTTTGTGGACATTGATGATTGAGTCTATTTGAAATATTTAATTAGTTTTGCATAGGAGATCATTGATTCTTTTTAAATTCTTATAATTTTTTTTGTAGGATGGAAGATCTGGTTCCCATATTATTACGCTATGTTCAAAGCCGTCAGAAACCTGGGGGATACGTGTTATGGGTTGCTCATAATGCTCGTACTTTTGATGTACCGTTTATCATTAACGAGTTACGTCGATGTTCTACACCGATTCCTCCGAATTGGCTGTTTCTGGACAGTCTTTCTATAGCACGTCAACTAAAGCCTGAAGGTTCATTTCTGTTTGTTTCAAAGGCTTATCAAACATTCACACACACACACAAACAAGTCCTTGCTGTTTCTATATGAAAGCCGTGAATTTTTCTGTATACAGGAACAAAACTTCCTTCAGTATCCCTTGATGCCCTTAGCAAGTTCTATGAAATTAAAGTGGATGGCTCAGCCCACAGAGCCATGGTAGATGTGAACACATTATCCATGATTTTTACTAGGTTGACCCGTGATTTGAAATTGACCCTGTCCGACCTTGTCGAAAGATCATTCAGAGAAGTTGATATGAAGAAGAAGAATTCAAAATAGTTTTCTGATGATATTTTACATTGATATGTGACCAAAATTTGTAACCAAGAATTGAACTCAATATTTAAAGAAGAAAAGGAACACTTTTATTCTCAATACAACTATCATCGCCCTGTACTGTACCAACTGCTGAAGCTTTTACTTTGCACTGAGAATATTACTGATTTGGCTTTAGTGGATAGCATAACTCTACTGATGTTTGTAAATACTTAGCATTTCATATCATATCAGTGGATATAAATTGCATGCAGACAGTTGATACATTTGTAGCATTTTATTAATTTGAAAATACAAGCTTAAAATTTAGACCGCCCATTCTTAATTGGGCAGCTACAAATGTGACGATTGCATACAACAATCTAGATCGCATATTTGTTCAACATGATTCTCTTTCAATCCCTTAAACTTCTCTTTCATGGTTTTAAGACACAGAGGGAGTAAAATTAAACTTGCATAGCTTTTAGGCGAATGAAAATGAATGTTTCTTCTGATTTAGCAGGAAATGTGTTTCAAAAAATAAGAGCAGTTGAGAGTGGTGAGTTAAAGGCTGAATTTGGAAGGAAAAAATTAAAAAATTGCTTTCATTGAGAGTTGAACTCAAGACTTCTGATTTAGCAGGAAATGCTGTTTCAAAAAATAAGAGCAGTTGAGAGTGGTGAGTTAAAGGCTGAATTTGGAAGGAAAAAAATTAAAAAATTGCTTTCATTGAGAGTTGAACTCAAGACCTCCCGCTTACTAAACGGGTGCTCTAACCAACTGAGCTATGAAAGCTAGTTGACAAGCTTCCTGTGAATACGTTATTAAATCAATATACAAATAAAATGCTTTTTATGCTTTTTGATAAAATTTATTAAACGTGGAAGTTACATACTACCTCAGTTTTTTATTATAAGTCATTTTAGACTTTTCACACGTATTAAGAAAAGTAATAATTATTGTACAAAAATAAAAAATTATAAATTTTTTTATAAAATTATCATTCATTAATAGCATAGAGAAGATACATTTACTTAATTAAAAGGAAAAAAAAATAATAAATATTTAAGGATAAAATAAAATAAATAACATTAATTATTTATTGATATTATAAAATGACTTATATTATAGTACAATTTATTTTTCAAAATAATTTATAATAAAAAACTGAGGAAGTATAAAACAATCACATTGCACTAAATACTGTACTCGGCATTTAGATACAAAGGTTTGTTATCATCGTCACTCTTATTATTGTTTTAGGACAAATTTAACAAACTATCCTTTTTATAATTTAAAGAAGACAAAACATTATCCTAATTTATGGAAATGAGAGGGAGCATATAAAAAAGAGATTTTGATTCTCCATATCTTATCATAACTATAAACAAACAAAAAATATGTGTAATTTTTTAATACAAAATTTATTTTTATCTACATTTCACCAAGAGTATTTTTTGGTTACATAAGAAAAGTAAAGAGAAAAGAAAAAAATAACAAACTAAAACTTGGGACATGGGTAAGAAACACCAATAACATCAAATAGGATTAAATAGACCTCAATTGGAGGGTTATAAATAGGGGATCACTAATCTCATATGTGTTGGAAAATCTATATTTTAAAAACCGAAAATGCCTATTAGATTTCGGCCGCATCATAGGTATTTCTCAAATGCAGTATTTTTCAAAATGCAGTCAAATTCAATAATACTTTGATGTTGTTTGAAATTTGTTATGGAGATGCATCTCCGTAACAATTTAATGTACACTACATATATTCTCCACTAAAACGCCTTATGTTGACAAGAATTGATTCAAAGATGTATCTTTAAAATCACACCTGATAAATTCAGAAGATGCATCTTTGTAACCACACTAGATAATAATTCCAGCATTTGATTTAGAGATGCTTTGATTAATTTAACGACATATGACTTTTTGTATAATTTAAACTACACACTTTTGAAATAATATAAAAATCACATATATAAGTTAATAAATTCACAGTACACAATATAGTCAAAATCCAGAGTACAAAATAAAATAAAACAGAAAACAATGATCTTAATATAAAAAACTATAAACTATTGTGTATGACTGTTACACTCCAAAATTTACCCTATGAGTTTCAATCACATTTAACTGAAATTTCACATTCAATTCACCTCCACATACATCTTCATTTGCATCACAATCATTCACAACATGTGTTCTCAAAGCATGGGATCACATTCCTCCTCAGGATTAGGATTTTGAAGAAGAAAGGCTCATCTCTCAAGAGTTGGTGTCATCATGATCATAATCACTACGCCAAAAATAATTTTAGACAACACACCTAAGGCAACGCTTCTTTTCAAAAGCGCTGCTAAAACTGCATTTAAAAAACATGGAAATTTTATCGTATGCCTTAGACAACGCTTTCTAAAAAAATGCTGCCTAAGGGGGGGTGAATATGATTTGAGAAAGCACTGCTAAAGGGGGGTTGGTATTGAAGTGCTGCCTAAAGGGGGGCTTTAG